AGAGGCAATAACAGCAAGCCTTGATTCCCAAATCTCCTTTTTGAATTTGCAACTAACTCTGTATAATCAAATCTCTTGCCCTTACTGTTAGATTTCTTCTGCCACCAAAATGGTAACTGCTGTAACCCACTTTTAAAAGGGTTAATTGCAATTAATTCTGAAGTCCTCTGAACAACTTCAGAAGTGCACAGAGAATGGCATCATACCATATGAATAACACATCCCACATCCATAACTTTTTTTCATGATTAGTAGATTCTGAGTAAAAAAACTGAACTGCCAATTAGAATTTTAAAAAGGTTCCTATAGTTTATGAAGGCATTTATTATCACACCTAGCCCCTTTCCATCACTCTCACACCTATATACTCAGCAGACTCACATGGGCAGACAGGAGCCTTTGCAGAGCAGAGCTCTAGGAAGAAATTCTCCATTCCCTTATAAACTTAAAATTCCTTAGATACCCTTCCTTCCCTTGACCTTGCATATCAAAATATGGTGCACAAGCTGGGCTTGCTTTGGATAGACTCAATTCTATAGAGGCAATTCATATTTTTTATCATACAAAATATTCTTAAAGAAATGAACAAACAAAACAGTTAAAAGCTGGAAACTACATCCAAAAGCAGCAGAAATGCAGGCAGTCTGTACTGATGGAGCCAGTAACAACGTACCATGCCTGAAAAGTGCCCTTGTTACCCTTTGCTGAGTCCATTAGCCACCAAAGACACCCTGCAAAACATCTTCAACACAACTTTTGTCTGCCACTTCTGCCTTTGCCTGCTCAGAGAAACAACAGCTACTGGTGCTCCAAGATTGATGTTACCTCCCCATGTCAATCACCAACACCTATAGCAAATCATCAGCACCAGCTACAGCTTTGGCACCTGCAGTCATGTTTGTTGGGTAGGTTTGGAATCAAATTCACCAATGAAAATAGATTTACTGCTGGAATTGCAGCTTCAATCCAGTAACACAAAAGAAGGTACACTCATAGCTCTCCACCTTGTTTTCCCACTTCAGTTACAGGTCTCACACGTATTGGCATCACAGTTTTTCTGTGAAGGCAGCCCCACAGACTGACAATTCATGGGGTGAGGCAGCAGATTTCCCACACAAACTAGCAGAAACATGCTCTGAGCTCCAACAAAGTTTTGAAATCACTGGGCAGGGATTACATAGCTGGAGTATATAGTGACAGCCACTTTCCTGACCAATGATACACTATCTTCTACCCTCCATGGCAGTGAGGAATTCATATGTCAATATATGTTAGGCCTCTGTTTTCTTATCCCAAAAGAAAGCAAGGCAATTATTGTGTAAAACGGGAATGCTGGTGAACCTCATAGCCATAGTTTTGCATATTGAGCACAAAGAAAAGACCAGTATTTCAGACTGGGCAGCAGAATGAGGATGGAGCACCTTGCCAGAGCTGACAAGAGCTCTGCTCTTCCCACACAGCCACAGGTTTCCAGTATGAACTGCCATTTCCAGAAACCTGCTTTAGACTATTATCAACTACCTGCCTCAGTTTTGCAATTCAGCTTCTGCTAAAATTCAAGGCCAAGACTGTCACATCTGCCTCAACCCCCAAGAAGATGGAAGCAGCGCCTTTGCCATGTAAGAACTGGCAGGAGAACACAAAAACTCTCAACATAACAGAAACTTGGGAGAGTTCCTTAACAGCTCTCAACCAGGAGCTTGTGTTTCCTCCAAATTCTATGTGACATGAGCAAGGGAAAAAAACAAACTTTGCAGAAGTGGACTGTGCAATGAAATCAAGCCTCCTCTCTTTCAGCTTCAGGCCACGCGTAAAGAGGAATTTCACTGCTACAGCACTCACAAAAAGAGGCACTCAGAGTCAAGAAGAACAAAACCACACAGAGACCTCTCCAGGGCCTGTGTAAAACACTCCATAAACACACACTTTAAGGCAGATCTGAAAGGAACAGCACAACACCAACATCTTCCTTCAGAAAAGCATCGAGTCCCAGAACCAAAAGAATGTTTCCTTAAACCAAAATATTGTGATTCCTAACAATACTCCAGTTCTGAGAACTCCCTCAGGACTGTGGCCCGGATGCCTTTTGCTGTCATCTTTGTGCAACACAGCACCACACGGGACAGCAGTGACATGCCTGCTCCTTTTCCATGGACAGCCTCTTCCCACAGGATCCTAGTCCCCAGAAGAGACAGGAGCAATAGGGCACAAAGGAGAGTCTCCATGAAACCACTGCACTATTTTTAAGTGAGAAACAAACCCCAAAAACTTATTTTCCGAACAAATTCTGCAAAAAGTATTTCAGTACTTTCCCCCTTAGGTCAGATAGCCAGACATTTCAAATGAAGCACGCCGTGGACTGAATTAAGGCCAGCTAGAAAATGAGCGTGCTAACTTTTTAACATCAAAATTGGGCTTTTATTAAGTTATTAACTCAATGCACATATCCAGCAAGAAGCAATTACTTTCTGACCACACAGGATAACACTGGGATCATGAAGTTCAGCCTGAGGATGGGAACCAGCCTTCTGCTTTTGTCTCAAAATAGCACCATCATCACAGAACATATTTCAGGGCAGGCAGGAACAGAGTTAGCCACAAACTTTCTGCTCTGAACTGCAGAACAGGGAAGGACATGGGACAGAAAGCTAATGAATCAACAGAGTGGACAAAACTATCCTTGATCTGCTGCCATTTGCTAATATTTACAAGAGATGTAGGGTAATTTTGGTTCAGGCTCAGCATAGCCAGTGTTCATTGCACCTGGAGCTGCTGACAAACACAATTTGTCAGCAGAGCCACATCTGAACAGTTTCATATTAATCCTCCAGTGAGATTTTTATTCTCCAGGCTACCTCTAATGGGATTTTTCCAGACTGTCCCAGATTGATTGCCTCCAACAACAGAAAAGACTACCCTGTCCGATACTCTGAACAGTTAAAATTCTCAATTACTGACCAAAAAAAAAATTATCAGCTTCCCCAGAACCAAGATTACAAGTCAGATATGTTTGATCCACTTCCTAAATTCTCCTTTCAGGAGATGAGAAACCAGCAAGTCTCAAACGTACATGGCAGCAAATCCTCTATGTGGAGCTGTGCTCCAAGCTCTCCCAGTGCCAAGGAAGGCATCACAGCACATGCCATGTGTGGGACCATCACATGCTTCCAGACACATCAGCTCCCAGTGAACACTGGCCGGCAAGAGACAAGAACAGAAGCTTCTCTGAGCTGTTTCTGCACTACACAGAGACACTGCAGGGACACAGCGCTCACCAGGAATACAAATTTCAACCACAGCGGGGAAGAGTTCAGAATGCAGGCACAGCTCCCAGTCAGCCATCATCCCACCCCGGAATCTTTTCAGGAAGTTGGCTAATTCTTCATTTGCTACCCTAGACTGTGTCAAATGGCCAAATGGCTCTGTTCCAACAGCCACTGACACACACCTCCACTGGAGCAATACTCCATTCAGAGAGCTTGTCAAAGAAAAAGTCACGTTACCTTGGAACAGAAATACCTCAGAGAGAGTGGTGTTTATCCCAGGAGGCAGCAGACAAAGTATATCCTTGGTTTGGGCTGACATTCCAGTCATATCAATGTCTCTGATCTAAACTCTGCTAAGCACTTTGTCTGAAACTTAGCCTAAAGCAACAACTGTTATCGTTTAACTCACCCTTTCCCACAGTCCTCAAATACCTGTGCCATTCACATTCCAAATATTCTGGCTATTACTACTGAAATGGTGGAGCCCACACATCTGTCCCTTTCCAGTTCCAGCAGCAGAGACCAGGGTGCAGACCTCTATAACCGGCAGTCCTGAAACTCCAGCCCCATGGAAAAGAAGCTTTGCAAAACATTTGCAAATGAAAACACTTCTGGCAAACCTATAAGGCATAACAGCCCAAATGTCAAACACCTGGCTTGTCAAAGTGAGCAGGAAAACAAAAAACAACAAGGTTTTGAGTCTGCCATTATAATTTTGTTCCACAAAAGATGGAACATGAGAGATCAGGAAAAAGAAAGCTCATTTGAGAAAACTGCCTAGAAAAGAATGATATCAAGACAACTCTTACCAAAGTAAGTGCCAGAGACTCTTTTCGTTGTGGTCAAACTCTGCTGCAGAACAACCCTGAATCAGGAGGACTCCAGCTTGTGCCTCTGCTTCCTTGACAATTCACATGTGGGGCAGGGACCAAGTTACAGAGAGATGGCAGTAGGAGGGGAAGGAGGTGGCAGCAGGAAGGGTAGGAGGTGGTTATAGTCAAGCAGGAAGTATGAATCAAGTCACAACAAGTTGTAGAAGTGCTTCTTTAAAAAAAAAAACAAGGAATACAAGACAAACTGGCCTTACCCTTCACTCAGGCTCACCACAGCAACCTAAAGAATCCTCCAGAACTCTGTTTCATAGAGGTCCCCAGCAGTATATCACCAAGGGTTAGCATAAATAAAATAATATGGACAAGAAAACACAAGGAAAATCCAAATGCTTGTGACCCTGAATGAACAGGTCTTTCCTTGCAGTGGAACACAGGCCTATTCCCCCTACTTCAGATTTCTGTAGATGTTATTTCTGAACAGGATGGCAAGCTCTGGCTGTTCAGATACAAGTGATTCCACCCACTGTGGATTACTCAGTCAGCTGAGGACCTTATAGCTGTATTGCTTAACTACATAACTTCTGTGGCATTATCAAGCAAAAACCACTTTTGTGTTCAGGATGTAGTAAAGAGCCATATCTAAAACAATTCAGCAAAAGCAACTGAGTCCTGACAATAATATAATCAAGTCAGCAAGAGCCAAGAAGTAACCCAAGTTTAGCTGAAGTCAATGGAAAATTACACATATCACAAACATTCAAGAAGTTTGGCGTTTTTTCTGTGCCACCTGTCATTGCCACTTGGTCTTGGCAAACAACAGATGTCCCCAAAGCCCTATTAGAAAAGTCCTTCCTCAGCCCAGCTGCAAAGACATCAAAGGAGAAAACAGGAAGGTTCCTACCTGCTACTTCCACAATGTGGTGCCTGGCAATATCATAGTAGGGATGATCCCACTGCAGGTGAGTGACAGGCTCAGGGGAGCTTTTGGAGTCGTCTGAACAAAGTACAAGAAACAAGCAATCAGAAAAAGGGATCTGGAGCACATTGGAGAATACAGAAAGATAGAAGCATAAGAAAAAATGGCACTTCTACATGGGACTAATGTATGCAACTATACACCTTGAAAACCCACTTTTGAAATTCTGGTGGACATGGAATTCTGAGCAATGACTTCAGAAGAGTCCTCTCAGTCCTATGAGATCAATATGTGTCCCTCAGAATGCACACTCCCTTGAACAAATGTTCAAATATGTCACAAATATTCACAAAGACAAAACCCAAGGACACAGTCATGGCTTTTTAGGGAAAGGAGGATCTTAACATAGTCCCTTGATGGATGGTCATACTATATATCCTTGAGCTAATTTTCCTGACCTCTCTGTTCATAGTTCACAGCACAGGATTTCAGAGCAACAACTCAGATCTCCAGCCCCACCTCCCAGATGGAAGTTTGAGACCATTCCAGTCCAGAAGGCCAAACTTTCCTGCAAGAGACCATAATGGAGCATACTCAAAGATTTACAGCACATCTATTCTGTCAGCACCAAAATGCAGCCAGGCACAGGACTGAGAAGAGCATATTTACAGCAGCTGGCTCTGCACTTTTTAGTGCTGTTCAATACTGAGGCTGATTCACTTGGGTGTGGTGCAAGTTTAATGCATCTATAAAGCTTTTAAATGGAGCTGGGGCTCTCTGTTTATATAGATAAGACCACAATGCTGCAAGACAAACAACTGCTTTTTGGCCAAAACCCAGATCCCAAACAAGCAGGAAACTTACCTGATTTGGGAAAAGCAGGGACTTCATCTGATGGCCAGTTCTTATCATCTATGGAGGGGGCCAGTTTGAGCTGGCTGAGGGACTGGTTGGCATCATCCAAGCTCAGGTCATCCTGAAGATCCGTGAGCGGGTCTGCAGCCATGGTCCCCAAACACCGCAGTTTATTTCGCTGTGTCTAAACACGGACTGCAGAGACTGTTAGGTGAGACACAGAGATCACAAATCTACCTCCCCACAGAGACACTTCCTCTTCTCACCCATTTCCCCCCAATACTCCCTCATCCTTGCTTATCCAGAGATTGTGTCCCCTCCCCCTTAATACAAGCAGGAACTCCTCCTCCTCGCCAGAGGCACAACGTATCAGATTCTTTCATGCCAATTGCTATCAAAAGCCATCAAGAGCTGTACCAACCCTCTCAAGGAATCTCTGCTTGCCCACAGCTCTGGGCAGAACAGTTTTTCTCTCTTGAAACAGAAGCAGCACCAGGACTCTGCAGAAGGCGACAGGCTGCACCAGCCCCTGCCTGATACACTCCCTGTATGGCTCTGAGCTCCCCCTCCCTCCGAAGCGCTGGCACAAAGCCCAGCTGTTTCCACACTTGGCCCAGTACTGGAAGCTTTCCCAAGAATCACCCCCCTCCTTCTCCCCATAATGGAGAACCAGAGCTCTCAACAACACTGAAGTGCGTGCTTCAGTGTGCTGCGATCTGAACAGAGAAGTGAACAGCTCCTTAAAACAGGAATTTTTTAGGCGGAGCTAGTAAAACAGGGAGAACAATACACATAGAATCCTCATCTCCTTTCAGCATCACCCAGTAAATCCTCTCTCCTACATAATAGCTAGAAGCAAGGAATGAATTCTTTCATTTAAAGCCGTACTGCCTGAATGAGTATTTTTCACCAAGCATGCAATAAGCAGACCAAAGAATTAAGAGGGTCCGAGAAACAGACAGCTCAGTGCGTTTGCTGTTGTTTGCAAATATTTCTCACTCTCATCTGAAGCAGAAGATGCATTAAAGCTGGGACTGAGCTAGCACAGCATACAGGACCTCCTAAGAGTACCAACTCTTAAGGACAATCCTTGGGAAGCTGCTGTTATCCTCTGAATTCAGTCTCCTGGAAGTAAGCAAGGAAACATTAAAAAGGACAACTATGTAGATCTGGACTGCTTACACTGACCACGTGGACAGTAATTCAGTGGTCAGCAGGCAGCAAGCCAAGAGGAAGTGTAAAAAAATCAAGTGACACCTTGCATCAGCAAGAGTCTCTGCAGCACTGTTTCACAGCAATGCTTGTGCTTATTTTGCTTTATAAGGAGAGCAAAGGGTTCAAAGATGATCTGAGGAGGCACAACACCTTAGTGTGAAAAGTATATTCACAGTAAAGCTATTTCCTTTAGCAGAATGGAGAGGGGGACGATGTTTTGCATCTTCCATCCCTGGAGCTTGAATGTGTATATTTATGCAGAGGAAACAATGAAACAGTTACTCAGACTGAGCACAGACGACAAAACCTGTGAGAGACTGAGCTCTGGAAGGTGTCACATCCATGCTCAGGTCTATACTTGCCACCAAGCTTGAGAATGCATTTTGAGAGCACAGGAAATTGGATATCCAGTGGTTTTCTTCTCCCTTTGGACCATTCCAAGCTTATTATTTACTTCCTATCCTCCCTTATCTGCTACTCACCAGTTTACAATCAGTTTTCACCTCTCCAGGGCTCCCAAAGGACTGAAAGCTTTTGCTAATCAAATGCAATGCTTCCCGAAATACAAAAGACATGACATATACAGACAGCAGGTCTTCAAAACAACACATCAGACACACAGGGTCCCACCACTGCAGCCATGCAAAGATCCAAGCAAAATTATTTTCCCTGCCCTCTGCTCAGGGCTGCCAGAGCTGCCTGACCTCCTCTGATATCAACAGGACAAGGAGCAAAAACTCAGGTTCCCCAGCTCTTTGAGCTCATGCTGGAAGCACGCAGCAGTGGAGCCAGGGACCAGGACTCCCCACCCCTCGCAGCTGATCCGATTTCTATGGTAACAGCAGGCACTGACTCCTATGACTCAGCGAGCTTAAAGCATTTCCCACAGGAGCTCAGCAGCCCCAAAAGCCAGTGCTCCATGCTGAGGAAGCTCATGGGTTGCCAGGACAGCCTCTCAGCATTCACAGCTCTCAGGGACTTCCCAGCCCCAGTCGGGACAGAGGAGCCACATTTCACTGCCACCATCCACTGAGATGCCTTTCATGGGAGATTCTTGGGGATGCCCGGGAGCAACCACTTCCCCAAAGATGAGTCCTGAAACACCTGGAGACCAAATCCAAATCCTCCCAGAGAGCAGTGATGGTACTGCCATAGGGCCAGCAAGTCACCAAGTGTCCCTACACTTGTCCCTACACTCACCACTCAGCATCACAGTCAACTTGCAGCACTTGTCCAGAGACAGAAGAGCAGGTTATTAGACAGCACTGGGGGATTTCCCCTGAGGCATAAAATTTATCTTAGTGTGGCACCATGTGGAAGAAGGAAGTTGTTTGTTAGTAGGATCCACACCACAAGAAGAGCCCAGTGCATAGTGCTCTGGCCTCACCCCTTGGAAAAACAGACAAGGCTCTCCAGATACCTTCATGAAGTTTTCACAGCCAGCTCCATTCCTTGGCCGTAGGTTACTGCTCCATGGTGTTAATGGAAGCAGGATCCAGAGCAGAAGACCTCTTAGATTTCAGGTCCTTCTTGTGAACCATACTGTAGTACCCAGAGAGCCCCAGGAGATTTTGCAGATTTTTCTCCAGCCCTTTCCCAACATGCAAAAGGCAAAAGCACAGGATCTCACATCAGATAACCATACAGCAGTTTAAGACATGAAATCTTCTAAATGCTTGGGAACTAGGCTCTGAGAAGGAGAGAACTGGAGTTATCATGTAAAACACAAACTGAGGATCTTCATACAAGGATATACATTTCACTTTCCAATAGTGAAGCTGCATGAGATGCTTCCCTGTGTACTCAAAAATGATCCCTAAGGATCTGTCTTTAAACAGAAAGTCCATATGTATCATGGTGATATAGCTGTTAAAATTAGTAAAGTGTTTGTTAAATCATTTCATGTTTTTTAACAATAAAAGAGCATTTCAACAGATTTAACTCCGTTTAAAAACTGCATCTGTTTTACATAAATGTCATGACAAGATGTAAGTGGTACACTCCATATAGCAAATAATAAGATAAGAAAAATTACATACCTAGATTTTGAAAAGCAAAAGTTGTAGCCAAAGATTTAAAACCTTAAGAATCACACATGGCAGCAGAAGCATTTACTTACTGCCAAGCTTTAAGGACCCAACTGTTACCTTTTTTTCCAAGTATTTAAGTATGTTTTCTGCAACTGCACTACACCTGAACACTTGCTGTAATAAAAGTTAACTTTCCTAGATAAGAGAGACATGTGATGGAGAACAGCACACTCCACTAAAGGAGAGAACTCAAACCATACAATATTCACAGAAATTCTGAACTGAAAATTCCTTATATAACATCCAGAATTTACCCAAGGAAGACCATTCACATTATACCCAGGAAATCGTGGTGGTTGCTGTTCATGAAAACTATTTTTTTCTGCAATTTCATTTCACTATTTTTCTATCACTTATTTCTAAGCTACACCTGCTTGGTAGTTTCCTTTTCCTGTTTTTCTTTGAGATGTACTATTAGTTCAGAAGTGAATTACACTTCAAAATATGTCCATGCATATATTACCACACCCTGGAGCTCTACATACAATAAAGAATTACAGAAGCCAAGTGACCTCTTCTTCCATGCAAGATGAACAAGCAATGGTCAGATGCAACACAGTCCTGGTTCCAGGATTATTTTTATGACTCTGTTGCCATCCACACCTCCCAGTTTCAGCCTATTTGCACAGATGTCTCTGTTTCTATACACATCAATCAAGGCCCTGCACTTTGCTACAGTGTTAAAAACAAGCACGTCCAAAGAAAAGGGAGCAGTTACTCAGCAGCAGACCTTCAGGGTACTCACGTGCATGAATGAGGTCCCGAACCGAGACTCACCCACAGAGCCCACCCCTTGTCTTCCCTCATATCAAGACTGATGATACCACCGAGAGCATCACTACCCTGGCACTACCCTGAAAGAATGTAGAGGCCGAGAGCCAGACCTTGTCCTGGCTCACCGTGACCAGTAAACTCAGGACAGACACACTATTGCTCAGGGAAGCCTTTGGTCCTTCATTATTCCAACAACTTTTTAATTGAGCAGCATTCCTTCCCCAGTCACCTCAATCCGGTTATTGAAGGCCACCTCCGTGCCCGCTGGAAATCCACTCTAGCGAGGAGTCAACTTCCCCTTTGTTCTCTGCAGGGTCTGAGGGCAAAAGTGCTGAACTCCCCAAGTGTCCTCTCCGGAGCTGCTGCACAAAGTACAGAAGCTGCTCTCAGTGCCGTGCAGGACCCACCCCGGACTCGTGTGAGAGAGGCAGCGAGGCACACACAGCCCTGCGCGGGCTGAGCCCTCCCCCTCCTCATCATCACCTCCTCCACTATACATCTATACACTATACATACTCTCCCGTTCCCTTCGACTCATCTCCTGAGAGACCCCTGAGGGAACCTCAAGGTTGCTCACGAGACTCACGGACTTACTATTTACACTGTTAAAACAAAGATCCCCAAGTACACGGCAATTGCCTGAAGGCAGGACAAGTACCAGCCCCTGCTGCTGGGCACCGGGATTAATGGCAGCCAGCCCCAGCGCCAGCCCCGCCGCAGCCGCCGAGGTCGGGAGCAGCCAGCAGCAGCCCCGGTGGCGCCGCTCCGGCGGTACCTGCACCGCCTGCCCCGGTCAGCGGTGACGAGGAACCGCGGGCTGCCGGCCCGGCTCTCCCCGCCCAGGTGCCCGCGGCGCTTCACCAGCCGCGCTCTTCCCGCCAGGCGCGCACCGCGGCCGAACCGAGCCGCTCCCTCACACAGGGCGAGCCCGGCAACACCCGGGCGGAGCGCTCGGGGCTCCGGGCCCAGCCCCGGCCCGTTCAGCCCCAGCCTCAGCCTCAGCCCCAGCCGCCGGGTCGCTCCCCCGCCCCAGCAGCACCAGGACAGGCCGCCGCACCCCGCTGCTGCAGGCGGGTTCCAGCCGCGCTCCCCGGGCACCCCACGCCGCCCCGCCGGTGCCGGTACCTGCCGCCGCCACCGCCCGCCCGTCACCGCCGCCCGCCGGAAGCGCGGCCTCGCCGCCGGGGGATCCCGCCCCGCCCCGCCCGCTGCCGGCCGCCGTCCGGGCGCGTCCGCCGCTCCCTCGCAGCGTTCCGCTGGCACGGAGCGCCCGAGGCCGAGGGGGCGGCTGCGGAGGCGCGGGGGGCCCGGGCCACCCCCGCAGGCAGAGCCCCTCGTAGGTGCGTGCCGAGGCCCAGAGTGGGCGGGATGAGCGGCCCGACCTTCCCGAGCGTTGGGGGTGCGCCCCGCAATGTGTGCGCCCTGCAGCCCCTGCGGGCCGGCCGTCCGGACCGTGCATCGCTCTTAGGAGTGCCAGTCCAAAAAAGAGCGTGTCGCCCTGTTTTATGCCAGTCATGACGATACGTCGTAGAAATACTTGTCGTGAAACAATAGGAATGCTGCACAGGTACTGTCTTGTAGTGAGAAATCAGAGATTCGTCCCTCTTACCCTGTTTAAAAAGGAAAAAGATCATAAAAGTAATGGTTCTCATGGCAGAGCCCCAGGATTACTGCATAGCAGAGTATCCATTTCCAGCGTTCATCTTTCTCTTATCCAGCAGCAATCATGTCAACATAACAGCCAGCCATAATTCACCCATCATGCCTTTGTGTTTGTGCAGGGGATCCCGAGGTCTCCAAGGGGGTAGCTGATAAAACCACAGTCCTCAATGACCCTGTGTTAGCAGGCTGTCCACCAAATATTTTCACAGGCTGCAAGAAGCTTCCAAACATGAGCCATGACAAGCCAGCATGCTGGGGACTGAGAATCAGCATGTCGAGCCCATCTCAACCATTAAGACCAGTGGCAGGTGCAAAAAAGAGTTGGATAAGGTTGTAGATCCCAGATCTGCAGCAGAGAAAAGTGGAAACGGGACAGCAGGCAGCAAGTCCTGGAGACCTGGATCTGTTGTCTCCCTCGAGGATTCTGCTGGCGGGACACTTGGGCAGGAACCTCAGAAGGCCAGTCCTACAGAAGGAGAGACTGCAGAGCTTTGTGAGAAGGAGAGCAAAGCTTCCAAAACCTTCAAACTGGCTTTCCCACAGCATGGGGGAAGGGCTTACTGAAGGGCCCCGAGTGGCAGGAGGAGTATATACAGCTGGTGGAGGATTACTCTGGTAGCCCAAGCACCCCCTAAAATTTCTGTCCCAAAAGGAGCACAGGTGGTGCTTCAGGGAGTATGATAAAGCCATCCTGTGGCTCTGCCACCCCAAGAAGCACCACTTTGTCCACCTTGACCACAAAGCCCCTCCTGTGCACAGAGTGTGGCAAGAGCTATAGTTCAGAAGGGAGCTTCAAGACCCATGGGTTGGCCCACAGGGCTGTGTGGCCATTCCAGGGCACCCAGTGTAACAAGGTTTGCTGCCCCAGAGGAGAGATGCATGAGCACCAGGCCCTGCACGCTGGCCAGCACCCCTTGTCCTGCCAGCAGTGTGGCAAGGCCTTTGCATGCTGGCTCTCTCTCTGCATGCACAGGGAGATCCATTTGGCTGTTGGGACTGGTCCAGCCGGTCCCAAGGGGTGCCAGTGTGCCATATGTGGGTGTCACCTGGCCAACTCCAGCTCTTTGTGTACCCACATGTGCTTGCATGTGGGGTAGTGCACTTGCACCTGCAGGCAGTGCAGCAAGTCCTACACCCTGGCCACTAAGCTGTGGTGCCATCAGAAATCCCACCTGGCTGGCAAGCCCTGCAAGTGCAAGCTCTGTGGCATGGGCTACGCCCTTCCCCAGAGCGTTGTGCACCATGTGCTCACCCACAAGGTGGTAAAAGGACTTTGAGGAACTTGCCACTATAGTGGCCTCACTTGCTGTGGGCCTACCTCAGGCAGCAAAAAAGAAGCCACAGAGAAAGGGCCAGCAGGGGGGGCTTGTAGCAGGGCTCACCCTGCTCATGGTGGAGGTGCTGAGGCCAGGGAGTGAGGCTGAAGTGCTGATCACAGCCAGCAGTCATTGCATTGCTACTTACCAGTCTAAAGGCAGATCCCAGATCCTGGGGCACATGGGACAAAAGCTATGTGTCCACCAGCAAATGATATAATCAAAATCATCCTCTCCGAGCTTGAGGACAAAAGCATTATGGTGCAGGATGAGGCCTCACTGAGTGATGTGGCCATCATCCAGGAGGGGATGAGCTTCAGGAGACATGGCAGAAGTGGTAGAGGTCAAGACTGATATCTGGCTGTCCCAACATGTCCTGGCTGGTCTTCTGTACTTAAAAAAACAAGGTAAAAAACCAAAATAAAACCTAGCTCTCTCATCTTTCTGCTAGCAACAAGGCCCTATGGTTCAGCACCAGGCAGAATTAGCAGTCTTGGGGTTAACTGCCTGTATAAACTTGAGTCTTTGCAGTAGCTGCTCATTGAAGGTATGAGCCTACACATGCCACATGCTGGGCCTGGCACAGGGAAGGCATTGGCTGTTGACGGGGAAAACTTCCTAAAGAAGACACAGCGTTAATGAGCAGTGCTTCTGTTCTGCCTGTGCTACATTGTCAGTCAGTGACAGTGCACGGTGGGGAAGGCAGGAAAAGTCTCAAAGCAGTGACTTTGAACAGTGCCTTCCTTTCAAGTTTTTTAATTACTTGCTGCTATTCAAGCACTTTCCTGGGCTTTTACTCTTGGAGCTAAGCAACACTTCTGATCATTTGAAGCTCATGCTGGTGCCAGACATTACTGGTAAGCAGCTTTCCAAGTGTTTACAATGTAGCTTGTAATATGAAGAGCATTTTACACAATTAGCAGAAGCAAAGTCCTGCCTTGGAGCTAGGGCTGGATGTTCCTTCTCCACTGTCACCTGGTTTGCTTGCTGTCAGTTTCTTTTGCTTATGGTGACTAGACAATCTATCTGAGTTCATGAAAAGGACAGTTTTGTGTCTCACTGTGCAATTTTCAGTGTCCCTAGCTGAAAGGCTCCTCATCTCTCCACATAAAAGTTGACTAGTTCATCCCTGCTCAGAAGATTGTCCATTTCCTCTCCACGTTCATACTGCATTCAATAATTTTTTCTCTTGTTTCTCTTCACACATTCTTGCTTCTTCTCTTCTCCTTCTCTCCTAGCCCTGCACCAAAACATTAAAAGACAGCACTGCCACAACTACATCCAAATATCCCCTCTGCTCCATCTTCTTCAGTCCCTGTTTGCCAACTGAGGCATGCTGATGTAAATTAGTCCTGTTGCAGGAATGAAGTGCACAGCTATGTGAACTTGAGCTCCTAGGAAGAGTTGACAATACCAGACCTAGCAGGTTCTTTCAGACTTGCCAACTCTGCACTCTCTTTCCACGTTATAGGAACACAACTTTGATTTGCTGAATCCTCAGTTTTAGCTATTCTTGCTCTGTTTTATGCCTCTCAAACATCTGCAATTTCTCTATTTTTTTTTATTTAGTCTTGCTTAGTGGCTTTAAATTCTCTGAGTTTCTTATACCCACTGCACAAGGCACCAGGGAATCATAAGTAGCATAATTCCCTTTTGGGGTGCTATGAATGCAGTTATGGGACACTCCTAAAAGCCGCTCTTTGTGGTTTAAATTTTTTTCGTTAACTTTTATGACATGTTTGCAGACAAGGTGCTGGAGTGAGATCCATGACACTTTGATGGGATGTTAAGATGGAGGATGAATTCAGTTGATAAACCTTTGGGTGTCCTAATTTTTAATTATTTTCTCTATAGGGGCATGTGAGCTAAGTATTCCCTGAGTTGCTTGGAGCACATGCATGTGAGTGGGCTTGTGTTTGAAGGTGCAGTGCTTCCTACTGTTCTCTCTTTGGTGCCTATCCAAACTCAAATATTGACACAGCTGCGGAATGTTCTCACTGGAGCTGGGCTCATGGGCTGTGTTTGAAGCGTGTGCCCTCTGTCACAGCAGAACTGGGAGAGAAGGGGGAGCAGTGGGGGGAAGGGGCAGGGAGAACCCAGACCCCTACTGCCTAAATAGCTGGCCTGCTTCTTTATTCCGAGGTAACAGGAGAGAAGCGAAAGGAACAATTATGAATTAGGAGGTCTTCACAGAAACATTGGTCACCTGACTGTTGATCTGAGCGGGGGAGCATGTCTGTGCCGTGCTGCACGTATCTCTTGGCTGCAAGATAAACTTAGCTGGCTAATTCTGAGGAGAGGAGGCGTTTCAGCTGGAGGTGATTCCCATGGGCCCCTGGTGGTGATGCCACCACCATGTCTTCATCTTAGAAACAACATGTTGTCATGTGAACAACCTTTTTCTTGACAGCAAAATGATGTATAAAGTTGTTTACTCCTAGGAAATTCCTATAAAAGCCCTGAAGACCATGGTACTGGTGAACCTCAACATGAATAGGATCTGTACAGGGTGTTGTGGCCTGACTGGATAGCTGTGCAGTGCTGTTTAGCTTGGTTTTTGCAGCATCTGAAGGAGTGTGGGATTATCTAATGCTATTCCCTTTCTTGTATTATGTCCAGTAAATGGTATTTTAATGGCTACATTGTAGGCTCTGAGTGCCTTTTTTATTGGAATCCATAACAAGCCCTCATGCCAGTGCACTACATTTGGTGCAGTTGTCAGGATGCTGGTGAGAAGGGAAGAAGGATAGCAAGGAAAAGGATGTGTGCCTGCCTGGTGCCATATGCTGGCATGGGGAGCAGTTACACAGCATGCTGCCTTTCAGTGCCAGTGAGGGTTAAGTTTTGGGACAGCAGACACATGGATTACCCAGCTGGCTGGAGATCTGTGCACCCATTACCAGTACAGGCTCAAGCAGCAAGCACACAGCTCTGCTGGGTAATGAAGTCCACCATGCTGGCAGGGCTTCACCAAAGCTTTGGGGTGCTGCTGCAACACTCCTGGGTGACAAGTGCCAAGATCTTTTGGATGATTGGGGTCCCTCCTGCTGGCAGGGTGACACCAGGTGTCAGGCATGCACACAAGTGTTGCATTTAAACCTCACACTACAGTCAGGGCTCAATCCCTGGCCAACTTGTAAACTGGCTTAAACCTGACCAAGATGTTTGAATGAAAAGGAACAGGCTACAAGGGAAGGAGACCCCATCTGGCAGCCCCCTGGCCCTCAGGGACAGGGGAACCCCTGTGTGAAGGGATAAGGGTTTCATCTTTATGATTGTATCTAAGGTGTTGCATTGATTAAACTGTATAACTGCCTTTAGGAAGAGATGGATAAATGCCTCAACTATTGAATGAGCAAACTATCCATCACAGGCCAAGGTCAAAAAAAATGGGCCAAGGCCAAACCCCCTATATTCAGCTCCCTGAAAGTTGAAAAAGTGTTACACAGGAAAAAAAAATTGCCAAAGGCTTTCTTTACTTAAAAAGATGAATCAACACATAGAAGGAAAGAGATCGAAACTCCTAACTGTGTTACAAACCGTCACTCTGGATGATAAAGGTATCTTAGCTCTCTTGTCCTAAGAAAGAAAATAGCATCCATCATCCATGGGTGAGTGAAGGCAGAGAGAAAATGAAATTATAAAACTTTGCTTGCAGGAATGGAAGAGTTAAATGTTGGAGGGGTAGAAGTCACACCCCTGGAGAGGTGATAGCTGATGCATGCTGTGCTGCTGCAGAGGCTAACCACAGGAATGGGAGAAACAGAGAAGGGCCCTAGAAGCACATTAAGGAATGAAAAAGGCCACAATGTGAGGAGTCAGCATCTTTAATTACAAACATTGTTGTGAGACACAAGAAAGGGCTTGAAAGTGTTGCAGGATGTAGTGAAAATCTCCAATTACAAAGCAACAAAATAAATGTAGGAACCAGAGCAGAAGTAACATTTAAGGAAGATGGCATAGGTAGGTATTAGAAGATATTCATACCTGTCTGATAACCAAGCTTAACTGCCTTAACTGCTGAATTGTAGTGTTGCTTAAAGTTAGCCTTATATTCTGCATGATCCCATGGAAGGTGGTAAGACTTTTCCTTTAAAGGAAAGACAGGGAGAGGGTAAAAATCTATGCATAAGTATAACAACCTTGACTTAAGCTGCAGTGTAAATGCTGCCTGGTTATTATTAAGAAGAGACAGAGATGCAGAAATGAAAGTGATTGAGGAAATTGAAAGCTGCTCCTCCTCCAGTTAGGAGTGGAGGTGGCTGTGTGGGACACAGCAGCTGCTCTGACCTCACCACTCTGGTTTGTGCTTTTCCCTGTCCCTGCCTCTGCTCTCTGCCTAAATGCTGCTTCCCCTGCTAAGTAACATGGATATTTCTAGGGTTGTGTCTAATCCCATTCACACAGTCTCCACCCAGGTCATTTCCACCCAGGGAATGCCAGCCATTCCTAAAGGTGTCTCTCCAAAATCCGTAGTGAGGAGTAGAGATGTGTGTGGATGAGAACAGGAGATACTCTTATTATGTGAGGAAGGAAGCCTCTGCAACTGCTCTTTGTACCAGTGTCCAGAGTCATTCCTCAGCCACCCTAATGCTAATATTTGCACTCTTCTATGGAGATAAACATTACAGATGTATCAGTTGCACAGAGGCACAGCGCAAAATATGCTCCCTGCTGGCAGGAGGCACTTTTGTTCCATGTGGCAATTCCTGAGACTACCCCCATGCTGCCCTGTTTTTCCACTCTTGCCAATAGTCAGCTTGCTGTAGCAACCATTAGAGCCTTCTCAGCTCTGGCAGACCACTTCTTGACTTAATAGCTGATGTCATGACATCCAGACCATTCCTCTCTCCCTGTTCCTGGAAGCTCTTGTTTTCCTGGCTGGTTTTGGGTGTGCTAGCTCCCTGCTTGTCAGAGTTTCTGTTTCCTTTTGGATGGACTTTAGCACGTTCCACTATGGGGGGAAGAAAAGGGGGAAACCCAGCCTTCATGCTGCTTCATCCTCCTCCACTCAGCTGGGAATTATAAGGTATTGGGAAGAATGCACTGCCAATGGCACTGCTAACTAACCTAACTGGAAGGAAAATTTAAATTCCAATTGGGCTGTCAAAGGCATCCTTTCTGCTCATTGCCATGGGCAAGGGAGAAGGAGGAACACTGAAACTGTGTGTTGTGGTGCCAAAATAGCTGAGGCTGAGCTTGCTGATAACTGTGGGAAGGAAAGACAACTGAGCACTAGGGAGAATCAGGGGGGCTTGCAGATAAAAAGAGAAGGACTGGGAATGGCTAAGGAGGTCTCAAAGTCTTCCTGCGTTTGAGTACAGCCTTTGAGAAGAGTCAGGCAGGGACCTGAAGCAGCATGGTGGGGAGGCAGTGATGGTGCCATGGGCTGCACGGGAGCAAAGCCAGGGAAGAGGAGCAAGCTCTCTGGCTGGAATGGCTGTGAGCTGGCAGAGGTACCTCTCTCTGGCCCCAGTTCTCCCTGTGCCCTGGGACAAACTTGTTCTCTTACTACTCGTGCCATCTTCCTAGATATGAAATAGGAAGTTAAGTAAGGAAACAAAGATGCTCTGACAGGAGGGACAGATGCCAAGAGAGGAGGGATAAGAGTCCCACTGTCCCTGACACACCACGACCTGGAGTCCTGTTTCTTCATTCTGGTTCAATATTAACCCAGCAGGGCTGTGACTCTGCTTATTCTGCTTCCTTTGCAATTCCCCTGCAGCCAGGGCTGTACAGCATGGCGCAGACCAAAACCAGCATACTGAGGGGCCTGCTCTTCTCCAGCCTTCTGCACCTCACCTTGAGCCATGCTGGAGGTAAGACTCAAGGGCAGAAGTCCCAGTAGATGACAGGAGGAAGACGCGAATAGTTCTTTCCAGGGGTAACACAGGTGGCAAGTTTTCTTCCTCAAGTCAGGAGGACAGGCTAAAAGCTTGAAGCTGGGAGCAAAAGGGTGCTAAGAACGGAGTGAACATGGGAGGACACAGCTGAATCTGTCAGCTGGTGACAGCAACTCAGTGCATTTTATGAGTCACTTGGGAAATGGCAGGAGGGGATTGTGGCTTAGTCCAGGATCAAGTCTAACATAACCATCGGGCTTTTGGGGATAATTTCTCAGCTGACCTAGGTGGCTTCAATTCTCCATTGCCTCCCCAGCTGTCTCTTATTGAAACTTTAGGTCATACAAAACATGCCACCTTCCTGCCCACTGCTCCTTTTATTAGAGCTTCTAACTGTCTTTTCTTAACATGAGGTTAAGTCCTCTTGGACCCACTATTGTGTAGGGGAATAGCTGTCTCCAGGTCTCAAATCAGGGGCTCTGAATATGAAATGAAACCAAGCTGTGCTTATCGCAGTGGTCTGAGGCTTGCAAGACAGAAATACAGTGGCTGGGGACAGGGTCACCAGCAGGCTCAAAGCAAACAAGCCTCTATCTAACTGCAAATGAGCAGAGCAGCTTTGTTGAGGAAGAAGCGTTCTGTCACTTCTGTTCCTTGTAAGTGATGGCAGCTGTGACGGGATGAATTCCAGAGAGGCTCTGATCATCAAGTGTAGACCTGACAGGGCTTCTCCTCTCTGTGTGGTGGGCTGGGGGAGGCTGGGCTGTGGGATCACCACACCAGTTGCATGCGGTTTTTGGAAACTGCAATGGGAGACAAAGGTGCCCTCTGGCTGTGCGCAGCCCTTTGACTGGCAGTGTTCTGACCTGATAGTTTTCCTGGAAAAGGGGCAGGCGTTGTCACTGCTCAAGCGCCACCGACGTGCCAACAAGGGATTTCTAGAAGAGATGCTTAAGGGAAACTTGGAGCGAGAGTGCTTGGAGGAGATTTGCAGTTATGAGGAGGCTTTCGAAGCCCTTGAATCCACCGATCAGACGGTACGTACCAGGAAACATCCCCCAGCCACCCTCTGCAGGGAGACACCAGCAGGCTGCCCACACAGCCAGGGCCAGGGTTGTAATGCTCGATTCTGTGAACCAAAGATGAGGCTGATGAGTGCACACCCCATGGCAAGCTCAGGCTTCCTTAGGGAGCTTCCCTCCTTGAGACACTGCGCAGACTACACCTGAAAGCTCAGGCTCTTTTCTCTCCCTCTCTATGCCTAAAGTGACAAGGTGCCATTAGTCCTGAATAGTACCTTCCACTAGCCCAGCATGGTATCACACACATATGAGCTGCTATCCCAGACACTCACAGAAGCACTGGTACAGTAGTCAAAACACTGAGTGCAGGTTCCTCAGACTCCCTTGAGCTTCTGCACACCCTGCCCATTTTTCTGGTTTCCAGACTCACTCACTCTGCCAAATTTGTGCTGCATCCTTTTGGGATTTGCTCCTAGCCCCAAGGCTGGTGTCTTGCTGAATTTCACACCCAAAAAACCAACAGATAAACAGTTAGGAGCCTAAGCCAGCAAGACACTACCTCTTTGGAGTACTTCAAAAGCAATCAGCCTCAGGCTGCATGGCAGAGATGAGAGCCAATACCTACATGTGATCTGTGGCCTTAGAAATTCCAGGTTCAGCTGCTTGGACTTCTGCACTGTAGCCCACTGCACTACTTGCACTGCTTGCTCTGCAGGTTGATGAAGTTTGTAAACATCTTTGGTCTCCTTAGAAACAACAGTATTGTCTTGATTCCTGAGTCTGATGTGTGGGAATGTGGTTTTATATTGCATTTTTTGCTTTGACTCTGTAGTAAATGGTATAAACAGAGCTAGGTTAGTCTTGTCTTTTGTTATGATGGGATGTTCTCTTACTGGTTTGAATAGCAGTAGCCAAGAAAGGTTTGATGTTCTGTGTCTCTAATTTTTTAAAAATCTTTTTTACAGGATATATTTTGGTCAAAATACCAAGGTAAGTTGTTTTGATTCTTGCAGGTACTGTTACTCCTTAGGATGCACTGTCCCATCCTGGAAAGATGGCTCCCTCTTTTAAGAGCTCACTTTCCAGGGCTAAGCACTTGTGTTTTGTCCCTAGATGATAAACTGGTTCAAATGATGGTGCTTATTGAGATTGCTTTCATATAATGTGTCTCTTTCTTCTTATTTTGCTAGTATGTCAGGGCCTGGGAAAGGCCAGGAGAGTTCTGGATGCTTGTCTAGAAGGTATGAACTTCATGCTGACCTCAATCTCCTTGATACAGTGAGTGCCAGGAACTTGCTTCCTGCAGAGATTGTACAGAAAAAAAATTAAACTGATGTTGGAGAAGCCATCTAATTTTAAAGAAAAATACTAGGGGAGGAATTTGAAATTATGTCTTACTCTTTATTTCCCCAGTAATAATTTCAACAAACAATCTAGTTTGTGCACTGAAATAGTATGGAGCGAGTATCCTTATCCGTGTGACACAGTCAGGTGTGAGCAGCCTCTCTGAGCCAAAGCAGAGCACAGAGCCCTCAGGGATAGCTCCCTCTGATGAAGCGCAGAAAGCTCAGGCCGTGTGCTCCTCTCACAGGAAGAGGATGCCTCTGCTATTGGAGGCTCATGCACCCAGCAAAAGTTAAAGGGATATGTGAGATGGTACTTCTGACCTTGAAAAATGCAACATCCAGTTCCTCTGATTGGCTTACACTGTGTGTTGGGATTTTGACAGGCAACTGCGCTCTTGGGCTGGGCCAGAACTATCGGGGAACAATTAGCCAAACCAAGTCTGGGATTGAATGTCAAGTGTGGACAAGCAAATATCCACATATTCCTAAGTAAGTTCATCTCCTGCATACCCCTTTAAGAGTTTTCTGCGGTGGCCTTCCTTCCTAGCCTAACCAGCTTTGTCTCTCATAGATTTAATGCCACCATTTATCCCAGCCTCATTGAGAACTACTGCAGGAACCCAGACAACAACTCAGAAGGCCCATGGTGCTACACCCGAGACCCAACGGTAGAACGGGAGGCGTGTCCCATCCCCGTGTGTGGTATGCCCCAGCACTGCAGACAGCCCTTCACTCACAGCAAAAAACTGCACTGAGACTGATACTAAGGCAGTCAAGGAGAGGGTTAAGGAGGGGGAATGCTTACATGAACAGAGGTCAGCAGGAGTAGAGAAGCTGCATCTTAAAGGGTAAAGGAGCTGAGGAAGAAAAGTCACTGAGTTGCCCATACATAATGAGCTGTTTTCTCTAGATTATGCTAATCTAGATCTAAATTAAAACCAGTGTCAGAAGTACCCTGGAATGTACTACAGTATTTTCTAGTCAGTCACCCCGAAATCCTGGCCCAGTTGTCTCAAATTAGAGACAGCCATGAGTCATAATGTTTTTTGGTCTGAATGCCTAGCTTTAGGACAAAATAACTACAGTTTGTGCTTGGCTGCCTGCCTTCCCATTCTCTCCTGTAGAGGTGTGCAGTTTAATACTCACAGTCTCATGTAAAGAGAAGATGCCTTTCTCTCATCAATGAACTGAACATGGAAGATCATCCCCCTACACTTACACATTCCTGTTTCTCCCTAGTACAGAGACATCTCCCCTGGGGCATGGCCTCTGTCTCAGAAGAACTGGTAAAGGAGAGAACCTTCTCACACAGTGGAAGTTTCTCTTTCATAAACAGACACTAGAAGCAACAACTCATAAGAAAAAGTTAGAGGTCAGCAACCTTTTTGACATGGGGTTATTTTGAAATTTCAAAAGCCATTACCACTGCTCTGGTTTGCAGAATCTGACAAACTGAAAAGAAATACTGCTCTGCTTTGAGGCCAGGCATCAGGAGTGATGCCAGAGGTGGCACAGATGCCTCATGAGACCATCAGGCATCTGTGCTACCTCTGTTCACCAGTTAATTTCTGACCTGCAGTATCTTACAGTTATCCTGTGTGCATGGATGTAGCAGGATTAGAAAAGCCTTTGTGCACAGACCTTTTATAATCATGTTGACATGAGTCAAAAAAGAGAAGCAGCCTTACCAATAAAGGGGAATACTACTTGCCCAGTGGCTGTTGTGCCACCAGAGTGAATAGTCAAATGGGGTATCTCTTCACATGGGGACTCCCCCTGTGCACATGGAGAAGGCACCTTGAGGCCCAGCCAAAAGAGATTATAGAGTACCCACTCCTTCAGGAAATGCTGCTTAAAACTTGCAGTCATTACAACACTTGCAAGAAAAAGTGTGAGAAGTCTTGCAGGAAAATTTTTCACTTATCATTAGATTTAGAAACATTGCCAAAAGTTAAATTTGCTATTTTAGTAGAATATCACAGTAAAAGGCTCCCCCAAATATGGCCTAGTTATGCATTTTAGAATAAGGTGTTGAAGGAGCTAATACAGCAGAATTATGATGCTTGAGACACCTACCCATCCCTTGAGCTGGTTCTCAAAGACGCCCCAGAAGGGAACACAATATTGTTCCTCATATCTTAGTGACAAAGAGAAATGTCAAGAATAGTGCCAGCCTCACTTCACATACTGCTGAACCATCTCTGACACTGTAATATTTTAGAGGGCCACCCCATGCACAGAAACACAGTGGGAGTTCCTAAACATATTGGAAGACCCCATGGAACTCTAGGCTTTACTAAGGGGCTCTGGTACTATTTACTAATAGCACTTCTGAGTGCACAGCTGTGGCTTAAATCACAGCCCTCTGTCTTTCCAGGTGAAGACAGAACAACAGTTCCATTCACTCCACGGGCCGCAGAACCTGCACCAACGGAACCTTGTGAACCAGAGAAAGGCATGCTTTACACAGGGACTCTCTCAGTCACTGTGTCTGGAGCTAAGTGTCTACCATGGAACTCTGAGAAAGCCAAAGAGGTGCTCCATGGAAAACAAGTTGACCCAGAAGTGGAGCTGCAGGAGAATTACTGTCGGAATCCAGACAGAGATGATGAGGGTGTCTGGTGTGTCACAAATGAATCACCCTACTTTGACTACTGTGATCTGCACTACTGCGGTGAGAAATCTGCTTAGGTTTGGGTAGGCCCATATTTGAGGCAGTGGCAAAGAACAGGAGTAGAATGAAATGCTTGGCCTGGGAGGAATAGACAAGGATGTACGTGCTCATGCACACAGGAGTCTTGTTTGTCCACATATCACCTGCCTTAGGTGCATAGCACTGTTACCTCTCTGAGGTGTTCTCCCTGAAAACTCACACTGGTGGACAAAACACATTAAAAAGAGCACTGTTTTAAAACATCATTCCTTCATGAGACCTACTGTGTGGGGAAAGGAACATTTACATTGCTGATAATTATGGCAACTATATTTAAACCTTTTGCTTTGTCTTTACATCTCTCAGACAGCTCGCTAGAGGATGAGAACCAAGAGTCTGAGGGATTATCAGGACGTTCTACTCTTCCTAAAGGGTTCAAACCCTTCTTTGATGAAAAAACTTTTGGTTCAGGTGAAGCAGGTGAGCAAAAACTCTAGGTACAGCATGCCTGCAGAAGGGATAGCCCTTCTGCAAACATGCTGTATCTTAGCTTCTTCCTATTCACTGTTCCTCAGAAACATCAGCTAGCCAAAAGCTGTTAAAAGCAGGGGAAGATACTTAAATTTCTTGAAGAACTCTCTAAAGTCAATATCCAGTTCCAATCATGGAACTAGTAAGCACTTCCTTTCTAGGATCTTCCAGCTTCGCATGCTGACTGCAGACAACAGTTCTCCACTGTGATTCAGGTAGAGTAACAAAGCCAAGACTGCTTGTTTTTTCAGATTGTGGCACTCGTCCTTTATTTGAGAAGAAAAAGATAACAGACCAAAGTGAGAGGGAGCTGTTGGATTCCTACACAGGAAGAATTGTTAGTGGGGATGATGCAGAAGTTGGCAGCTCCCCCTGGCAAGTATTGTCTTCGCATAGTCTTTGGGAATTGTGTTTTCCTTCTCTTCAGCTCCAGCAGGTAGAAATAAAAGGGCTTTCCTATCTTAGGCACCGTGCATAACTTATAGATTCTAATCAAAGCTCCTCCAAGTGGCTGGCAGAGCAGTACTAAAATAGCTGGAAAGTAACTCCCCTCTTGAATCAAGTATGCAACCGCTAGAGAAAGCAAGTGTGCTGGTGTGTTTCATCTTCATGTCTTTCTCTTTCCAGCTTTGCTGGAATGAAAAGGATGAGAAACTTCATCAGGTAAAAGAAATGGGGTAAATAAATGGCCTACTACAGAGGATATACATGCCCACAGAAGACTTGCCACAGAGCTACTCACTCCATTTTGTCAGTATAGAGCGATGCTGTTTCCTGCTCACTGCCAAATCTGCACTTTCTGCAAGACACTAGGACCCATTTAGTCCTGCTAAGGACTGACTTCCTCCTCATCTCTCAGGCAGGTGATGCTCTACAAAAAGTCTCCTCAGGAGCTGCTGTGTGGTGCCAGCCTCATCAGTGACAGCTGGATCCTGACTGCTGCTCATTGCCTTTTTTATCCACCGTGGGACAAGAACTTAAGTACAAGTGACATATTGGTGCGGATTGGCAAGCACGTAAGAGCAAAGTAAGAGTCTGAGTGAAGTGGAAGGAACTAGACTTCCTCTTGAAGTAAAGAGATACTTTGGAGTTGGGCTGTCATTCAGTATCCACTGAAGTAACTAATGTCACATGCCTCTCAATAAGAGGATCTAATGGGGCATTTGCTTCTCTTGCTGATCCTAAAGGATGAAGTGAAAGGGAGCACAGAAGCCTGGGAAATCTAAAAGGGTGCTCCTATGTAAAGACAGCATTGTCTCAGAGGGTACAAAACTGAGAGTATCATAAACTCCAGAAGACTCTCAGCTGCTACTGTATAGTGAGTTTTCCTTCATAACTATTTCAGATATGAAAAGAATAAAGAGAAGATTGCTCTGCTGGATAAAATAATCATCCATCCCAAGTACAACTGGAAAGAGAACATGGACCGAGACATTGCACTTATGCACTTAAAGAGACCCATCAGCTTCAGTGACTACATCCATCCTGTCTGCCTGCCTACCAAAGAAGTTGTGCAGAGGTGAGAAGAGAGAGAGAAACATGACTTCTCAAGGCTATTGGCAACTAAGAGTGCCAGGCAGAAGAAAGCTGTTACAATACATTTAATTATACTTGTGCTTCCTTCCACAGGCTGATGCTGGCAGGTTACAAAGGGAGGGTAACTGGCTGGGGAAACTTGAAAGAAACGTGGGCCACTAGCCCCTCCAACTTGCCCACAGTTCTGCAACAAGTTAATGTGCCCATTGTAGATCAAAGTACCTGCAAGGCATCCACCAGAGTCAAAGTCACTGACAACATGTTCTGTGCAGGTAAGTAACACTGGAGTCACAGGCACAGCTTGCCACAGAAGTCAAGGGCTCTGAGCTCCTGGTGTGACTCATGCAGCTAGGTTATTTTCTGATAAAGTTGCAAATGCCCTCCACAAAGAATAACTTTCCCATGATAACAAATTTCTCAGCTCTCAGAAAATGTGAAAGCTGGAGAATTTAAAGCTAAGAAAAAGTTTGCAACAACAACCTGTGTCAGGCATTAGTCTAATGGTACTATGTAGCAGCAGCAGCAGCTGTGGGAGAAATAAGCACAAATAAAATTGTCTTTTCACTAGCACAGAGCAGTTCAGTGACTTCCTAAATTAAAGGCTGCACACCCACTATTCTATCTACTAGCTTGTCTCAATCTTTTGGAACCCATTCATACTTAGGGCCACATATTTTGAAGGCTCCTGTCTTCCTAAATCTCTTCTAGCATCATACCCTTTTTGAGTGAGAAGGGAAATGCACACAGAATTCAAGTTACTATGGATTTATGTACCAGTTTAATAGTTTCTAATATATTCTTCATTTGTGCAGAGTTCATCAGTTCCTACAAGCAAGCCTTGAGATTTTTGACTAAATTTGTGCTGCTTGCATCTAAATGCACGGGACTGCTTTAGTTAGGATGGAAGCCAATTACACAAGTGTGCAGAAAATATAGAGTTCTTATGGATTCTCTTTCTAAACAACATTCCATGAAACAGCTGAGATGCAGACATACAGAAAAAATGGAGACACGGGTGATGGGAATGTGCAGAGATACTATCCAGTTTATCAGGAATGAATGAAATCCTCTTCCTCTTCATAGTGATACTTTAGGAGGACAGCTGGGGAGAGGAAAAGCAGAACTTAAGTGACAGGAAAGTAAAAGCAGGGATAACAGTGAATCTCTATAGTAAATAAAACAAGAAGGAAAACAGACTATTACAAATAAGTTTGTAAGACAAGCGAAGCACAGTAGCTTAAGCTACAGCTGTTGCACAGTGTCAGTGCAACTGACACTAACACCAATTCAGATGAAAAAACAAGAATGAGAGCAGAGGGTGGATTCAAGACTGCTGCAAAGACAGATGCAAAGTTAGAATTTTTACATGTATGAAAAACAGAAGTCCGAATTAACAGCGTCAGCACTCTCATGGGTCCCAAAATATTTATGCCATTTATCCCAAAACCTTAAAGAAAACATGGCCAACACCATGGGCAACATTTGCCCTACAGTCAAATGTCCATTTTTCTTGCCTGTAGGTTACAGTCCTGATGCCTCAAAGAGAGGAGATGCCTGTGAAGGGGACAGTGGAGGACCTTTTGTAATGAAGGTATGTTCAACAAGTTCAAGCTTATAAGACATATGAAGATAGGTTTGTTCTGTGCTGAAATTCATAGTCTAAAAAAAGCAGCAGAGTTGAGCCACTGTTGAGCGGTTGAAGCAAACCTAAGTCATGCCTAAGGTGAGCAATGGAGACCAATCCTGCAGTCATCCAGCTCCATTTCTACATTGAGCTCTCAGCATACTGGGAGATCACCTGCAGGATGCATGAGTGATGGCCAATTCTTAATTAGAGATTTAAGAGTAAAGACAAAATTACTCCAACAAACTCTATTGGAGGTGCAAGTCTGAATCCCAAAGTAGCACCCATCATTGAACAGACTGGGGAACATCCAGGGTTTAGATCTGAGAGGGGAACTGAGCTGCTAAACAATCCAGAGCACAAGTCTTATGAGGTGTGGCTGAGGGAGCTGGGCTTGTTTAGTCTGGAAAAAAGGAAGGTCAGGGGAGACCTCCTGAAAGGAGGTTGTAGCTAGGTGGCACTCGGCCTCTTCTTCCTTTCAAACAAAGCACAAGAGAAAATGGCCTCAAGCTGAGCCAAGTAAGGTTAAAGTTGGACACCAGGAGGAATTTCTTCAATGAAAGAGTGCATTTAGTGCTGTGGTATAGTTAACACGGTGGTGTTTAGTCAAAGGCTGGACTTGATCTTGGAAGTCTTTTCCAACCTTAATGATTCTGTGATTCCATCAAGGTCTTTTGCTCCTTTGCCAATGTAATTTTTTGTTTACTTTAGAACCCAGATGACAACCGTTGGTATCAAGTGGGAATAGTTTCATGGGGAGAAGGCTGTGACCGAGATGGCAAATATGGATTTTACACCCACGTATTCCGCCTGAAAAAGTGGATACGAAAAGTCATCGAAAATCAAGGGCGATAGATGAAGCATTTACCTTGCCTGGTCTCAGTTTTGCTACAATGCTCCACTTTGAAACATAAGCATAGAAGATCCTGAAGTAAAACAAGTTATATCCTTACAACTTGAGAAAAGGAAGGTCTTATCCCTTGAAAATAAAAGCTCTGAAACCCATCTTCTTCCTTTTATTCATGCTGAGTTTAGATGCGGTTGTATCTAAGCCATGACAGTAGCCAGGAGTACCACAGCACTAGCTATACTGCTAATTACCTGTTGTGCTTCAAATTCCGCCCCCTTCCATCACCTACAATCAACAGGTTTTGGACCCCACATAATGGCCTTGTCAGTCACAGCAAGCGAGATTATGCCCTCATGCACCATCCCCTTCCTCCCTTCAAGACAACTAATATTCTGTTCTAGTTTTTGATCCATGTATGTACAAGAGATAACCACCCTACAGTACCTGCAGCATTCCACAAGACACCAATGTCAAAAGTAAAGCAATTAGAAGCTGTTTTGATCAGACAGACATTGTTCACACTACAACAGCTGGCAATAAATACCAGCACCACTGTGTGCAATTCATCCTACAAAGGAATAGTGGCTTGAATACATTAAGCAGCACTTCCAGGAAGTTCCTACACAGCAGGTGGTGCCAGGTCCTCATTGTGTATTTTCCACCTGCACAGCAAAATTCTGAAGGAAGTAATTCGTATAGTCATTGACAAAACCTGCAGTGAAAACATCCTGCACTATAGGTGTTTGCTTAAGTTACAAAGGGATCTCGCCAAAAACAAGCATCAGTCTTTCATAAACTCCTCTTTAGTAGGAATTTGTGGACCACTGAGGACCCAGAAGTACAGCAGAGTAAACACAAATTCTTGACTGGTCAATTTTCTACTAAAACAATAATGACATTTTTTCCCAAATAAAGCACAAAAACCAACCTCTCAATGAAATCTGAAGAAAAAAACCTCAACATCTCAGGTTTCACGACTGTTTAAAGTCATTGATAACCACATATATTGAACACTGAAAATATTTAGCCCTTCTAATGTTTAAATTTTAAGCCTCACCCCTTCACTACTATCAAATCTGTGACAAAAGAGGGGAACCAGGACCATACAGTTTCTGGAGAAAGTCACTGTTCATATTGACTTGTTACAAACAATACAGAAGAATAATTTTTAAAATTCAGTTTAATGTTATTTAAATATTGTCTGGGCTAAAGATTAGGCTTTATTAATTTATGTGCACAAGTTTTAGTTCAGAACTCCCAGGATATTGAGTCCAACCAAACACTACAAAGACACAGGGTAAAAACTCATTCATAAAAACAGCTATATCTTCTGCTACTCAATTATTCCTGTATTTCACTTCTGAGTCAGCTTCAAATTTAAAATAGTTTATGCAGGTTTGCAGGCATTGCTGTTTTACATCCTGAGCTAATTAACAAATAGTTCTTCAGAATGTCTGCTGAATATGGTAAAGGAACGTATGGATTAATTAAAATGTCACTAAGCTTCAGAGAGCAGCTAGTAATTGAGAGGTAGTGGCAGTAACTCTAGCCAACACAAACTATTCACAAACTGCCCCGGTTTAAGTGCACAAAACCACAGCACTTACCAATAAGGGCCAAACCTCCACTTGTAACAGAGCTCTGTTCCACAAGTGCACACCCATTTCAGGTTATGAGAGGAGACTATGACTACTAAATGGAGGCAGTGGAGCAATGAATGGCATCACATCAGTTAACACAGGATGGAGAACGCTCGTGATCACCTGCTATCACAGTGTGCAAACTCACCATAAGCACCAAGCAGCATTATGTCAACTGCAACCCCAGCCTAGGGGTCCTATGAAAGGAAGATTTCAGACATTTGCAGAAGCTCTGGCATAGATCCGTAGTACAAGTACTAATTTAAAGTCATGTTTTTACTGTAATCAGGCAAGACAGTTTCAGCAATGGCTCTCAGGCAGAGACTGCTGGTCCACATAGCAAACAACAAAAGCAGCAGTTACATGGAAGAGATTAAAAATCTAGCATAGAAGTGTGCTATTTTAAGCTTCCCTGTCCAACCCTTCAATAACTCTGTTCTAGCTATGGAACAGATGTGCAATTTATGCTACACAACCAGTTTTCACATGGAAGTGCAGCAGTAAGGTGAAAATACATGACCTCCCTAGAAATGAAAGGGCTAGAAAGGATACGCAATGTGTCTGCCTTAAATCTTCATTATTTGGAGCTTCTGAAAAAGGCTCTTCACTAATAAAAAAAAAAAAAAGAAGTGGCTACAACTTTTGCAGACTAGTTCTATTAGGTATCTTAGTTAAAAAATGGTAACATCTGATGCTTAAGAGCAAAAAGAATGTAGTGAGTGAGGTTTACCTGCATGAGGAACACTGCTTAACCAGATGAGTTCAGAATAAATGAGTCCACTGACCATACACCACTGCTACTCTATTCCATATCATCAGCAGCAGGCTCCCTCAAAGAAAGCTCCCTCAGCTGGGACCACAATCTGAGTAAAGGCATCACAAGGACTAGATAATTCAAACTAAGTATTTTCAAGTTACAGAAACATTCCAAAACAAAAAAAGCAACTATATAAAAAATGTACTACTGCTCATAGAAGAGTGCAAAGTCTCAGGACTGCACCCACAGACAGTGTATTTCCACTCATCTTCCCTACAGTGTATCCAAACCCCAAGGTTCATGTCAGCTTAGTTCAGTTTCTAGATGCCCAGTCACTAACATTCAGAAATAGAGAGTGACCTCTAACCAGCAGCTGCTGCTGTTCCTATAGAGGCTGGTATAGTTAATGCAAACTTTATTTACAAAAGACACTTAAATTAGTTACTTCATGCCATGTGTCCATACAGAATCAACAGTTCAAGGATTACATGGAGAAGAATTCACAAAATTAAAAGTGAAATCACTAAAGGTTTTCTAAGAGTCAAGAACTAGGAAGAGATTTTAAAGACAACTTTACAAATAAAAACCCCAAGTCATGAGAAACTAGTCTGAGCAAGAGGATGGTTGTTTACAGGTCTGTACACTAAAACTAATACACAGACAGCCTCTATTGTCAAAGAGATGCTCATTGAGAAGCAAATTATGTACAAATACTTGTGCCACGATGACTCAACCCCTCCAAAATCCACTGTATTATACATAAACCAGTTTGTATACATTAGGCCTAAATGAGGCCATTTAACTATGAAGACTTCTAGTTTAGTAAACTAAAGCTGAAGCCAGCCCCAAACAACAGCGATACCGTCTCTCTGCATCTCTATTTGCGACTGCTTTTTATTCTCTCCAATCTTTTTTTCAAGTCATCAATATTGGCCGCTGCAGAAGAGGGTGAAGCCAGGGTAGTTCCAATGCCAGAGGAATGAGTCTGATTGGAGTCCAGGTCCAGGTGCTGGTACTGCTCCCGGGACTCACGCAGCTGGGAGAGCTTACTGTGAAGCATATCTGTAGAGGATGCAACTGTAGGGAGTGTTGGTTTAGAGAGCAGAGACATCAGGGGCGGTCTGTCTTCCTGCTATGAGGGAGAAAAGGGAAGTGTTAAGATGTAAAGTGGTAAAGGCCATATAAAATGTACAAATCATCATCAATGGCTTTTCATCTCTTCAAGCAATAAAAACAGAGGAAAGGGAAAGAGCACCACAACACAAGTGGATTTGGAGTAATAAAGTCAGCTGCTGTCAAAGTCAGAACCATGCAAAGCTAATTACTATGCTCAATCATCTGAGTAGTTAATGTTTAATTTTATGTCAACAGGGACACAAAGAAGCTAGTCTTTCAAGATCAAAAAATTCCCTGCAGACTAGAGTTTTACTGAGATAGACTGCCAGAGTCTTGAACAGCCTAAATTCTAACACAAGAGAAAAATCCCTGCCTATGTGCAACATCAGCAGACAATGAATTTTCTGGAAGAATGAGAAGATGAAACTGGCAAGACTGAATCTGTAAAAGACTTAAAGTGGCAATTCACTGTTCTTTTACCAATATTTCCATCTGAGTTACTTACCTTGTTACTATGATCTAGGAAACATTTCCCCTCCTCAGAGCTCTAAGCTGATACTCAAATTTGTGTCAAAGGTTAAAACAGTGATGCACCTGGATGACTATTCCTAGAGCGAGCATCACTTCTCACATGGCCGAATTCAAATTTCAGGAATTGGCACTAGATTCCTAACACACAGATCACTGAACTGTAAGAAATGTTGGTCCACAGATTTCCAGCACTAAGCTCATTTATCATTCCTGCACCTCAGTATCCATACACCCAAAACATATAAAACTTCAAAGTTTAATCAGCTCTCATGGTAGTTTTAGAGCAGAAAGTCTAGAATTTCCACATCCTTAATCTCTGAGGTGTTAACTTTTAGAGAACAGTTATTGTTTGGACCTTTCTGAGACTCAACTTCCCATCAAGGAATAAGCTACAGGCCTGTAGAAACAACCTGCACACAACATCAGCAATGCAGACAGAACAGACTGAAATGCAAGCCTACTTGGCCAAGTAATGAGATTAAAGGCATTTATACTAGGCATAGTGACATGCAGTGAGTAGCTAGGACATGCATTATAAATGAAAGATCATAAATTCTGATTGGAATCTGCCTTCTGGCATTTGAATTCTTATTAAAAAAAAAAAAAATAAGTGCCTCTCCAGGGGATTTTACAAGTGTTGTCAAGTACAATACCTTTGTGTTGTCAAGGCCACAACGCTGCCTGAGGATTTTTAATCTTTCCAAGTAAACTGAAGGCCCCACTTCCTCCCCATTTGTGTTTCCTATAGATGAAGATACAGTGTGGGTAGATGCAGGAACACATGTTCCTTCCATCTGAGAAGAAATTCCTGGAAGATGAGGGGAAGGAGAGTTAAAAGATTTAAAACATCAGAAAAGCATAAACTTCTTGGTCAGTTCCTTGTGATAAGATCCAATGGATGAAGAATTAACCAACCTATTATTCGCTAGTTATTTGCATTTGCTAGTATAGATATAACTGGCCTTTCATTTCCTTGCAAAAGTGACAACTGAAAACCAAGAAAAGAAATGGAGAAATTTAAGGAATGGCTGCAGAGCAGCTCTAGAAGTGCTGAAACCAACAGCTGACGAGAACAGTGCAGGGAGAGGAAGATGGTGCTGTGCATCAGCAGTGAACATGTCCAAGGGGAGAAGTGGGCAATTGGCAAGGTGAGAAATACTTGGAGTTGTCTGTCTTTTTGTAGTTTAGTCACACTCTTGGGCTTACCACTGATTCTAACCCTTCTTTATCTCTCATTTGTGCAACTTGAAGCTTTTTGTTCCAACACAGTCTCAAAGAGTGATTTCTGGAATGCACATAACAAGGTTTTTAAAGCTTCCCTACCAAGAGACTAGAAAAGGAATTTACATTATGAAAAAAATTTCCATTATTAAAAGAATTGCAAATTCTTTCTTATGACTTATCATGGACAAGGATTTGTTCTCACTAATTTATGACAAGGATGTTTAAAATAGATAAAAGTAGAATAAAGGTTAAGCATTTATACCTTAATCTAAAGGTATGCACTATCTATCTATGCAATCTATCACTGCTGCAGTATGGAACAGCATATTTTATTATATCAGACAAAGTTAGGGAAGAAAAAAAAAAGACAACTGTGGCAAGTAAATTAGGTTTTGAAAACTGCTGAACTAGTATTTCTCAGTTGTACAGACTCTTACGAAGCAAAATAGAATTTTCTGTCCTACATAGGTGGACACATTTAGGAAGTTCTAAAAGAACCTCATATAATCCATCTTCCTAAAGGGAATGATGGATTATACAGGGATCCACAATACAAGGATCCACAATACAGGGATAGGAGAAGGAGCACTAGTAGAAAAAAGGCTAAAGTTTCACAGGACACTATGAAATGAGTAAGAAATTAAGGTTAGAGGTAGTTCTGCTAGACTGTGTATCAGCTTTTACTGTCAGCTAATAATTTGTCACATTCCTTCCCTAATATATCATTAAATACTCCTTTGTATTTATGTGCAATGAAAAGACTCAGCAACAAACAGTTTTACAGTAATTCATCCAATTAATCACAAATTCTGCAGAAACAGTTCATGTTATTTAAAATAAGCTTTCCAATTCCACAGAAAAAAATACTATTAAAAGCATCCTATGTGTTTTTTAGTAAAAAGGTCAAAGGAGAATCTGACAGCTGATACTGCTGTTTTAAACCACCTTTATACCTTGCAAAACCAATTCTTGATACCAAACACATGAAACACAGGCGAATGTTCAATCCACACTACAGGACAGCAATTAGAACCACGTGTTTGCCAAGTCTTTCAGATGTTTCCTCCATTTAGTGTGGTTCTAACTTCTGGTTTTGTAAACAAAGAATGCTGCCTCACGAAGCAACTCAAGCAGCAAGAAAATGGCTTGCTTCAGAAATCCATAAATGTACGCAAATATTAATTTCTACCAGGAGACCTGTAACGGTTCTAGCTCTGCTTCTCACAAACCAATCAGTTTTGCTATAACGTACCTGTAGAAGTAGCAATGCGTCCTTTCCCTTCCCGTTCTGTTTCTATCAGTCGGAGGCCTCTTTCCACATAGCTTTGGAAGAACTGTGAGGAATTTTTCAGGAAGGGCTCAATGTCTGCATCAGAATATTTCTTTTTGTATTCATACAGTTCTGCCAGACCCTGGGAAGGAAGAGTTGCTATGTATTACTACAATATGCATACACTATTGCATATACTGTTGCATACACTATTCTAGTGTATCATGCTCTCTTTCTTGCAGGAAGGGGGCACTCACCTCCTTGGTGTTCTCCTTTGAGCCAATCTTCTTGAATATTTCTGCCAAAATATCATTGACTTTGGCTTTCGAAGCCTTTTCCTCCTAAATAAATAAACAAAAGGAGACTTTTAAAACAAAGAATAAAATAAAAAAGAAATCAGACAAACCCATGACACCCTCACACCTGCTAGCTGGATACAGAGCTTCCAAGAGGGAGAAAACCTTGAAGTGATCAGGGTTCTACATAGCCACTTAATACACAGAATGTGAGCAAGAACATCATGAAGATGTCAGACTCCTTCTGAGAAGTGTTTAAAACCTGTTTTGGATATGGCTTACTTTTAGTAGATCAGATGCAGTACCATGCAGCATAAAACTTTTGCTATACATTTGAATTTCCTGCAGAGTACTTCATCCTAGGATATGCACAGTATACTCAGGTAAACACATACAACAAATTCCCAAAACAGCCGTAAATGAAAATTTCACTTTACAAGAGTATTTCCAACATTAGTTGCATGTTGAAAAGGGAATTACTACTTACACAAAATCTAGTTTGTTTCTTAAATTAATTGCTTTACACCCCCTTCCCCTGCCAACACATTGTTACTTACTATGCGAGAAGCTCCTTTTTCTGTATCCTTATCAGCTTTTCCAGTCTGCTCCATAGCGTGTTTCATTAGTCTACAAAGGTGAGCTTCTAGCTCAGACTCATTTTTGTTGTCTATCATTGTTAAATGATCTAAGATCTAAAATGAGAAAAAAGGGGAATATTAAAAAAGGGGAAAAAAGAGGAAATACTCTAAAGACTGCATGAACATCCAATTTAAAAATATGTGACTAGTGATTGCTCTGACCTTGGGCCCTTTCAGCTTGCACAGGCTGTGAAGGAGTGTCTTCAATGTCCTAATAGGGAACTCACTCTTACACTGCTTGAGCTTCTCTTTGGGAAAGACCTTCATGAAATTGTGGATATCCAGAAGAATCCGATCCAGATTGATGCTATTGATGGTTTCCGGAAGAAGACGCACCATTCTCCACAGACACTGGAACGAGAGGCTGACTTAAAGCAAGACAACTCAAGAAAGAAGCACTTGATTATATAAGAAGTTACATAACACTATCACTGAGCCACTTCACTCTGCTAGCACATCATGCAGGCATGCACTGTGTCTGCTGCTCAAGCAGGTTTGCACTGGTGCATACTTTCTCTTTGCAACTGGCTGTACAGGAGCCAGATCTTTCTTTAGAGCTGATGCATACGAAAGGTACTGATTTCTCTACCTATAACTGGAGACTGAATGCTTTGTGTGAAGACATTTCAGCAGATAATACATATATATATATATATGCTATGTATACCTACACATAGACAAGTTCTTTAGGTTTAACCTCATTAAGAATGCCTGAGCTGTCTTTAAATCTTAACCAGTTACAAAAGGGCGTTGTATGGTAAGAAAAGATCGTGCTCATGCTTAAAATGCAGACATTTGCCTGTTCACTCTGCCTGTCAACACAGATGACAGGACAGAAGTCAGCTCCAGCCTGGCACTGTCTGAATCCATACTACAGTGTGGTCCTGAAGCTAATAAGCCCAGCAGGTGACTGTATGGAGGACTGCACCTCTGTGTGGAGTTTGTATTAGTGTACACAAGCTTCTGTAAACTATTAACAGGTGTTAAGCTCCTCCCTGAAGTCCCTATATGTGACATTGTCCTGGGGTGACATTATGATGTTTGTATATCCCCATTCATCTGTTCTGTGCCTTTAAGACCGGCTCTGAAGAGTGGAAGTTTTGTTTGTGTTTCTCTTATCAGGGACACAGAGAGGGCGTACATCGGGCTGTTTTTTCTCTGCTTGCTTAGCTTGCTGTTTTCTCTCTGCTTGCTTAGCTTGCTGCTTTGCTGGCTAGCTTTTCTGCTCTTGCTTCTGCTTCTGCTCGGCCTTCGCCTCTGCTTATTAGTTAGTTTAGCCAAACAGTCCACATTGCTTCCTGGACTGTTTCTCCTCTCCTGTTTCTGTGACCATCTCGAACCTGCTCCGGACCGGGACCCGGGAACACCGAAGGTTTGGCTGCAGCAGCTGCCCCAGCGCCGGAGGGACTGAGAACAGAGCAACCACCCCCGAAAGAGACTTTCTGATTTTGTCATCTTTCTCAGAGCGGTGTCATCGGGTATTGTTCATTTTGTGTGCTGGGGGGTGCTGTGTCTGTCAAATAAACAGGTTCTTTCCACCTCTCTCCGAGGAATTTTTTCCCAAACCGGCTGGGGGGGGGGGGCCCGTGTGGGTTTCGCTTTCTGGAGGGGCCCTCCTTTGCAGATTCTTTAACAAATTTGCCCTAAACCAGTACAGACATCTAGTAAGATCAGAATTATAGAAGTTGTAAGAAATATTTCAAGTTATGGACACTAATTTTTTTAACTCCATCTGTTCTTTCAGGTAAGATGATTCAGAGAAACCATATAAGTTCAAAATCCCCACTACAGGCTCACCTTCATGACAAGTTCTGAAAACTTAGGAGAGCTGGCTGTTGCTAGAAGACTGTCTTGGAGCAGGACAAGCAGAGCACTAGAAGGAATAAATTTATAAAGATTACACAGAAAAAGTGCTACACATAAGAAAAAAACCAATACCAACTCACCATAGAATACCACACCAGAGACTGGGGTTAGTCCAGCAGACGAGCAACAGCTCTTACCTTCTCTCTTTTTAGTATGTTACACGAATTTAAGAGACAGCCTGCTGAACTTAAAAGCACAAAGAACCATACTAAGCTGGCTTGTTTAGCCTGCCTCCAGCTGTACAGTCAAATTCTGATCACAATCAGTGATAATTCTTTATTAGCTAGCTGAGTGATTCTACAGACAGCGGTCTTTGCTTACAAAATGACTAAAACTCAGCCGTTCAAGGAACATAAGAGAACAGGTAAAGAAGAGCAGTTAATTGTGCACTTTTCATTATTTACCTCAAGATGTTGGTCTGGTCAGACTTCTCCAGAACTTTAACTACCAAGAGGTTGACTGATCGGATGACCTGCTCGCCCTCCTCAAGATCTTCAACCCGAGAATCCAGCATTAATGTAATAAGACCATGCATTAGGTCTTTAAGCACACCAGTGGATGCCTCTCGAGCCAGACTCTCTATCTGAAATAGCTACAGATTGAAGAAAGTGTCAGTTTTCCCTGCACATAATCCTAGACTTCTCTAGACTTCTCTAGACTACACTGTCAAACCAAGACATCTCCACATCTTCGTGTTTCCCACAAAAGTAAGAACAAAACTATGAACAAAGTTATTTCTACTGAGTGACTTCTGAAAATATTCAGGCCACCAACTCAGCAATCAAAAGGTAAAGAATTTTAAAACCAGAGCTTAATAGAAGTCTTAGTCTGTATTTTGCAGAAGCAGAGACCTTCTTATCTTCCCCTAATTCTTATTCCCCACTTACTCTCAAAAGGTGCATTGATAAGCATTTGGCAACAAACCCTCCTAAGACAGACTTAGTAGGAAGCTAACCTAGGTACAGAACAGACACTCCATTCTCCCACAACTTCTGTGCAGAAGTTATTTGTTCTTCACCTTATCTCTTACAACAAGCCTTACCGTGATCATGCTCCCAATAATACAGCTGTAAAGTCTGACAATCTCATCTTTGTCCAGCTTCTCATCTGCCATATGTGTATTGTAGATCAACCGGAGCTGCATAAATGTGGCTATCAGGAATTGATCGATGTGGCCAGACATAGCTTCTGCTTTGTCCTCCTGCTTGAGAACCTCATCAATCTAAGATTTAAAAACAAAACACTTGAGAGTAAAGTCAACATAATGCAAACAGCGCAGAATAACAATGATTTAAATACTTTTCTGTAGGAAAGGTTTTGCCCTGACTAATCCATTTGCCAAGGCAGTTGTATTCTAAGCTTTCACCTAAAATCAGTAGCTAGAGATTTATATTGCTAATCCAAACACAATCAATTACTGATATTTTAGAGAACTGCAATTCTGTCCCATACACAAATGAAAACAGCAACAGCTGCATTATGGATTCTGGAATTTAGTTTTATGAAATCTTCTGGACAAAAAATCGTCTAACTAGTTAAAGTCGCCTTAAACCCATGCAAAAACTATGGGGCAAGACAATTCTTTTGCCAAGGATCTCTAAAACTGTTAAAATTTAAAAGTTAAGACTCACTGACTAACTGGCTTTTACAAACTCTTAGCAAAAATAATTGGACAAAACCAAAAATATAACACAGAAGCACTAATGAGAAAAGCATTAAGGTTATTCTACATCTTTCAAGTGGAATTTCTATTGCTAAAGCGAGTCAGATGGCCCCTGTGCACTTAGTTTTGTCATCAGGGAGATTCTGAGCAGAGCCCACATCACCTGACATGGATGCTCCACCACAGTGCAACTCATCACCCTCGCAGGCAAAGTCTGGTACAGTGCGATTAGTTACTACCTGAATTCACTTACCTGTGTCAGAGCCTGGATGCTTGTATTTATATCACCACTGGCCACTTGGGAAATGACAAAGTTGATAGTAGAAGCTGTGTTACTGTGCATGTCATCAAAGTGTGGGGACACAGCACGGATTCTAAAGGGTTGGAAACAGGATTCATTACTTTTTGGAGAGCTATACTTATGTACACTTAACTGCTGTATTTCAATGAATATTTAGAGGAAAAAGGATTTCATTCTTCACTAAGGATTCTCAAGGAAGGAATAATTTCTTTTTACCATGTCTATTGCACTGTTTGTAAAGACACTGCTAATGCATTTACAAATTCAATACCATCTATGAAAATGCCTAAGTAGAACTAATATTTTTCATTAAACATAACTGTTCTCTAGATTTCAGAAGAGTACAACAACCCTTTGTTTGCCATCTCCTCAAGTTAGCTGACATTACCCTCTTATGGAAACAAGTCTGAATGTAGAAACTAGCACTATCAATTCACCTTTTCAAAATACTTTTTTAGGCAGCCCTGCTGATTTCACTTAGGAGGTAAAACTAAACTCACTTGGGCTCAGGAATCAAGACCGGCTCAAAGATGTCATCTAGTTTGTGTTGTACAAGTGCTGGCATCTCACATCCGACGGTTCCATTGTCATTTTCAATTTCATCAAGATCCAGCTGAAATTCCCGTGGAACTGTATGTGTTGTCTCCGGGTGACCGCCCATGTTGCGATTTTGGCTACAGAAACCAGGAGAGAGTTTTAGTTTAAGAGGTAAAATTATTAGCACTAGCATCCACCGGTAACCTTAAAGTTCTCATACTAACACAGGTTTTGCAGTTTGGATTATATTCAAGCCCCTTAACTCCCTCTGCTTTTCCCCTAGTCCTTGGTAAAACAAACTTCTGTAAGCCAGAAGAGCAGCTGCTACTTTACTTGCCCGCCTAGTTTCTCTTGCAAACCACAAGATACCCTGTACCTGTGCCAGGTATGCATGGTTTGGGATAACTAGCACAGTTTACAGTACTATTAAAATAATATAACTTTAAAGTTTGAAGGGCTTTTTTTGGCTTTTTTAAAAATAATGGATAGGATGCACACATACAGAGCAACTTCACAAGCCCCTGTGAGTCCAAGACTCACAGCATTCCCACATGACCTATACTGCATATCAGATTTCTCAAGGAAATAATTGAATATTTAGTTCTCAGCCCAGACTTTTAATCAAAAATGATGAGCAGGTGGCAAGGAATAGTTTCTGAGCTTTTTGTTTTGGGTACTGTTGTCCCAGGCTCTACAATTCACACATGCTTATCCATTTTTATGCTTAACGTCTAATACAACTAGAACATGGTCCAACAAATATCAAGTTTAGTCCAACACACTGAAAGTTCTCCCAGTATTTTTAACAGTTGCTTAATGTTTAAGTGCCATGTCTGTCTGCAGCCTGACCTACAGTCACCTTGACAGAAAGCTGTATTTCTCTTTTCTTTCTTCTCTTTTATTCAGAGATCTATAAATAATCTAGAACTAGCCATGGCAAACCCATCACCCTCAGGAAGGGATGGCAAGGATAGAAATTGAAAGATACAAGAGCCTTGCTACCAAGGAGTTAGTGGGCAGTACTTACATCCTATAAGTGCGATACATAATTCTGTCCATGGAGAAGCAGTGAAAAAAGGCACAAGACCATTTAGAAAGATTTCAAGACAGACAAGACAAAAAAATTTCAGACATTTAGATTTATATTATTTGGCCATTTTTCACAACATGCAAAGATGATGATACAAGAACTAAAGTGACACTGTCAGACATATTAGCACATACACTATGCAGGTAGAGACTATAATGTAACATCACATACTTGAGCTTGGAGGACATGTCCTCAGCTTGTCCCTTGCGCATCATGCTGGCATTGGCACTCATGTTCTGAGTACGCTGAGGCTTCTCCTCTGCCTGTCTCACTGGAGCAGAAGAGGGTCTCTTGGCTGACCGCTTTATTCTTTCCTCCAGCATGCTCATGTCTTTCTCTGAAAGCTGTAACACACGATGCTATCACTCATCCTGAGTTGTATGGGTTTTAGAAGTCTCAGTCACCTAGAGGATTCACACCATACTTATCAGTGCAGACTGAAATTCTCTAATACGAAGGTGGGAACTGTCAATGCTACCTCTGAGCAGCAAACTCACCAGAACACTCTGGACTGTCAGATGCTACTTCAAGAGCTAATTAACCCATGCTCACAAGCTGTAATACAGAATACACCTATTTCTAGCCCTGTTTTTTCTTTCAAGAAACAGTTAATTACTATGGTACTATCCAGTGTTTGTAATTGTTGCCTGTGTTGCTGCAAAAACCCAACCCCCCCCCCCCCAAAAAAAAAAAAAAAAAAAAAAAAAAACAAAAAACAAAAAACCAAAACCAATAAAAAAAACAAAAATTTAACAACCCCAAAAAAAAAACCAAAAAAAACCCAAACCCACCCACCTTTCTACATTCCCTACCAGAAGTGCTTGAACACTCTGGACCCTGCCACAGAAGCCAGAGTTCTTCTGATAGTTGTTCTGTTCAATGTACTCATAATTCAATATGAACACCAGATCAGGCAACTTAATACTCCAACTCAGGCAGTGTAAAGATTAATATTTACCTGCTTATCTACCAGACTGAAGACTATCAATAACTCCATTTGAACAAAAGTAGGCATTACAGTTTCATGAGCAATACTCTCCAGCATCCCTATGATTTAGAAACCTTCCTGAGAACCCACAGATGGACCATACTGAAGCTGAGAAAGTCATGGTTAGAAAGAGCTGAATTGTTCAGGTGCTACCTTTACCTTGAAAATCAAAAGCAAACGGACTATGTAAAACTGATGCAGAAGCAGATTGCACTCTGAATAATAGTTAAATAGGATGGAAATATAAGATGTTAATGAAAATGTAATGTTAACTCTCATGGGAACAGCTACCAGAGAAAATAAGAGTCACATTAAATTTCAACTTTTCAACAAGTTGGAAATAAAAATTAAAAAAAAAATTAAAAAAAAAAAAAGCGCAGGGCAGCCTTGTCATATTCCATAAAATACCATCCAATGGCTTGTATGCCCTATGGCATATGATGCAACAAAACAAAGCTGAAAAAGCATTAAAATATCTATCATGTTGCAATCAGTTTTAATGCTGCTAGAAACATTACCAAGGTCAAATCCAGAGAACAGAACTGTAAAAAAATTATCTAACTGCTCTTGATTCAGATTGGAATTCAGTGTACTTAATCTGATATGCACAGTAATTATAAACACAGTGAACTAGCTTTCCACTGCTGGACACTGGAAACTGAGTTTTAGCATCTTTAACTTTTACTGCATTTTAGATGATAATGATTAAGTATAATTTTCAGAGAGCAAAACAGCAGCAATACAAAGCGGCATAGTACTGACACTTTAAAAATGAAATGCAGTAAGATGAAGCAAGTAAGCAAAACTTACCAGACTTCAACTGCAAAGCAACTGGATAAGTCTGGGACAAAGAAAAATAGCTGAGAACTCATTGGAGCCCCAACAACTAGCCTTTCTTGGCCAAATAAGTTATCCAAATATTCTGAATCAGATGTGTCACTTGTAAAATTGACTATAATGCAAGTTACTCTTTATAAACAATTTAATTTCCACGGAGGTCAGTCTTTCTCTTTTTTTTTTTCATTCATGCACATCCAGGTTAAATACAGCTCTCTTACTGGAAACAGGCTGAGGGTTGGGGTTGGGAGCGTACTGAAGAGAAGGCTCTGAGGAAACCTCACTGCAGTCTTCCAGTACCTAAAAGGGGCCTACAAAGGAGCTGGAGAGGGACTTCTAACAAGAGCATACAGTGATAGAAAAATAATTACTTTAAAATTAAAGAAGATAAATTTAGATTGGATTAGAAACTCTTCACTGAGAGAGTGGCTGAAGCAATGAAAAAGGATACCCAGTCCCTGGAAGTGTCCAAGTGTCTCTGCCCATGGCAGGGGGTTTGGACCTATATGGTTTTTAAGGTCCCTTCCCAAAACATTCTATGATTTCATATATTCTGCTATCTGGGATTAACCAAATAGCCATCAGAGAATCTATGATGTAGTAAATTATTCTCAAAACTACAAAATGCTCTTGACACCAACAGCAAGATGTACCATGATCAATCACAAGCAAATGAGTGCTAATCCCCTACAAAAGCGTAAGGACTTGAAGAAACACCAAACCACCAAAGCCCAAACAAACAATCCCACCAACCAAACCAAGCACAGCATGCTAACCCAAATCCACCATGAACTCATGTGCAGTTACACTGACATTTCCAATCAGCTTGAACACTTGGTCACCATGGACGTTGTAGACAGTCACAATGGTGTTCAGCGCAGCGTTGCGCACGGCGTTGTCCCGGTCACCAATGTGGGTTGCCATTTCTTTTAAGGCTTTCCCTGGAGTTGGCTGGCACACATTCATGCCATACGATTCAACCAGACATCCAAGCTCTTCCAAGCATTCTAAAAGAAGATGATAACATATGCACATTCAACTTAAAAGCTGCTGTAAAGAGAGAGCGCTCCCAATTCCTGTGTTGGTTGTACAGCACGAACATTCACTGTAGAGAACTGCCAATCACAAAGCTGAGGACAGATATAATCCAGGTGATTTATGAGATCAGTAGTAAGCTACAGCAGACTTCTTCACAGATAAAAGCAGTCAGTCATCCTTCTACACTTCAAGTATTTCCCATAACCATGTAGGAGCAATGCTACAGTTAATATCACGTTCAGGTAAACAGTCGTGAGCTTGCAATACTATATTATGTAGAGAATTTAACTTTCTGCTTATACCAGGATAAGATACTCTCAAAGTGATCAGGAAGTTGTTTGAACTACAAATGCCACAATTTTATTACAGACATTATTTGTGGTGAAACACAAGTACAGTGTAGAGACACGTCTTG